CCCCCCCGCTTAAGCCTGATGAAAATATTATGTCTTTAAAAATTATTTTCAAGTTCCATCAGCAGTCATTAGTTTTGATTCACAAATTCACCATTGAAATTGGGGGGCTGTGTTACAGTGATCATAATGAAACTTTTGGGACATTAACATCTGTGAAAGCTTTGGATTTAATTTGTTATTTTCTGAGGAGCTTCACTGGTAAAATTATGATGAAATCTCTTACTTGCCAGTTCTGTGGGAGTGGTAGGATGTAATGTAGCAAAACGAACGTAACAGCTTCTTGGAGGCTCAGTAGATTGAGGAGAAGGGTCCGTCTTCTTGAGGTGAAACCTTCTTGTACCCGTAACATTATACTCATGTTCTGATGTTACTGCAATGGCTGAAGGAAGTGGAGTAGTCTTTTGATTAAGACAGGTTATTTCAGACATAGCGAGGTTATGCTTCCTGTGATTTTCAGGAAGACAGTATCACTGTGCCTCCTTTGCTGAGATGGAGGTCATGGGACTTCTCTCCATTACCTGTGTTATGGAGTCCAAAGCTCTATAGGGTAGGGACAGTGTCCTGTAGTCCATCTGTACAGGAGATAGATCAGTGACAGTCCTAGCCACTGCCATAATATGAATTTACCATAATATGAAAATTATAAACTTTTAACCTCTTTCCTGAGTTATTAGTAAAATTTAGTCCTCCCTTATACTGGGGGCTTGTCTCTAGTTCTGTTATTACAATACTTACTTTAAAAGGGAGGCCTTTATTAATGCCAGAGTAGTAACATTTCTATATACAACAAACAGCATTGGTTCTCTTACTGTGTAGATTTTATGGAAGACATGTAAGGTATATTAGAGCTATTTGATGAAAGCTTCGTTTATGCTAGAAGCAAACTGGTGAGGAAGAATTCCTTTTTGTTCAACTTAGAACTAGTTTTTCTGTGCACAGTAGTGACTCTTCCTTTGAAAGAAGTATGTGTACTTCAGTAGTCTAAAAATCTTACCTATATTTCTCTGGGTACTTAATATAACACACTGTTACATAGGTTTTGTCCTTTGGGTTTGCTGAAATCTTATTCTTGGGAAAGCCACTTAGAATTTCTATGTATACTACAGCAAATTTTTAGATACTATTAAATGATTGTTTCATGAAACAGCTGGTTAATGAGCCCTTTGATTTCGTACACGGTAATGTGCAGATGCCAATTCAGAGTCTGATTTAAAGCCACACTTTGTGAAAGTCATCAGATTGTGTTAGATTCAGCAGAGACAGCTAAAATAGGGACGAGAACAATTAAACCTCTAAAGTACTCTGCAGTTATGCTTATTTTGAAAAAGAATTGTGATAAAATGAGAAGATTGTCTCAGAATGAAACTGAAAGCTGCAAAATAAATATTTAACTGGTGGCATCCTTAAAGAATTGTGTACAAACACAGCTGAAAGCATCATAAACTCTGGCAGATGTAATGTGAAAACAGACAGGCCTGGGAAAAAAAGAAGGTCAAGGATCAGCTAGCTGAAGGAATCAAAGCTTTTAGTAAATCCTTCTTAAATGCATCAAGAACAAAAACCCTGCAGAGGGTCTGTGCAGCCAGTTGATTAAGTTATCAATATAAAAGAAGCACTGGGAAGGGGCATGACTACTGCAGAAAAGCTAAACGAAATGGTATTTACTGCTAATTGGGAAGATTCCCAAACTGAAATTCCTTTTTTTTTTTTTTTTGGGGGGGGGGGGGGGGGGTGCAACTAGAGGGATTGATCTGAAAAAACTCAGGAATGAAATTGCTTACTTGCTAAGGGTCATATCTGATTTCATGCTTTAAACTCCCTGGGTACCTGAAGGGTGTCAAATTTTATGCCAGTGTTTAAAACAAGAATGACCAGGGGGTCTGTAAGCCTGACATACACACCATTCAAATGTATACATGCTGTAACAAAGGATCAAAGATGCAGAAGTAAGTAGGATCAACTTGGGAAGGGTTAGCAGGATTTCTTTAAAGGTAAGTTCTTCTTGACAGACCTCTTGGAGTTTTCTTGATGGGGGCAGGAAAGGTGTCTGAGATTTAGATTCCCGAAAGGCTTTTGTTAAAGTTCAACATCAAAGGCTTTTGAGCAGAGGCTGGATAGGAGTGAAGGGCTTTGTGTATTAAGTAATGGATGAAAAGGTAGGAGGAGGGGTAAATGATTGATTTTGTTGTGTAAGAGGGAAGTTACCAACAGAGTTTTTGAGGATTCAGGCTTGGGATCTGTGCTGTTTGTTCAGTGTGGTAATAATGGGGATGGTAAAGGCAGTGAGTAGTCAAATGAGAAAGTTTGCTGGTGTTACTGTTCTTCAGGGCAGAAAGGATGGGAGAAGGGAGTGAAGGATGCCTGTACAGAACTGAGTGACTGGCCAGCAGGGCAGCAGGGGTGGTTGGAGGCTGGAAACAGGAGGGCGTTTGAGCCTGGAAAAGAGATGGGTGACAACATATGAGAGAGCCATGCAGATGGCAGGAGACCTGTGGGTCTTCTCATCAGAGATGACAGAGGATGTTTCTAATGGAGACATAAGAGCATGTTGTAGATTAAGATGTTTCCAAGGAGAAACTAGAGGAGTACTTCAGAGAGAAATCATTTGGCAGTTACAAAACAGACTGACTGACAAGCTCAGGAAAACACCTGAAATGAAAAAAAATATAGAGTATTTGAGGGAAAGTATTAAATATGATTGTACTGTTATTATGATTCCCTGCTGTCACTGTTGGTGATAGAATACTGGGCTGTATTCACATCTTGTCCATACTGGTATGGCCACTGGGCTCTGATCCAGTTGCTTGGACTGGTGAATTTGATAACTGAGATCTGTTTTAATTCATACATAATAAGTATATAGAGGGTTAATTTAGCTGTAGATAAGAAAAAAAGATTTTTTTGTGTGTGACTAAATCTCCTGTTTTATTTTCCTTCTTTCAGTATCATTTTATGGTGATAGCTTTGTGGAGTTGAAGACAGCAGAAGCATCCTCTCAGACATCCTTACAGTTGCAGTTTCGAACAAGCAAGCCACATGGACTGCTTTTTCTTGCAGCTGGGAAGAAGGATTATTGTTTAATGGAGCTACGCTCAGGAAATTTACAGGTATGGTTTATAACTATAGCTAAAAATATATGTGTAGCCTGTATTGTTTAGTGTTTTTCTTTAAGCTATTATCTATAACAATTCTCAAAGTGTATGTTTAAGAAAATGGAAAAATCACATAATAAATTGATAATTTCAAAATTTGGTATTTGTTTCTTACAATTATTATTATTAAAATTGGCCTCTAAATTGGCCTACCATTTCTGATGGTAGGTAAACCTACACAAAATTTTAGTGGGATTTTATTTTTTCAATTATATTTTGTGAATTACATGCTTAATATGAAGATTTACGAAATTTAATGTACTTAACTATGTATTAATATATTATTGTGAAAAATGCCACTTTGGATTTTGATAGTTAAAATTCTTTCTCTTGCAGTTGAGAATTAACTTTGGCATGGGGGAACGAGTACTGCATTCTCAGCAAAGATCTCAGCTGAATGATTTAGCTTGGCACCTGGTTGAACTACATCATGAACAGGATAATGTCACATTGGTAGTTGATAAACATGATAGAACTAGTGCAAAAATGCCTGGAATTCTTCATGAATTAAATATTGATTATGGACTCTACATAGGTGGTACTAATAAACTTGATGTTCCCTACCTTGTCGGAGCGCAACCCAGTTTCCGAGGATGTATTGATGATGTGTTGTTCAATCAGGTAGACATTCTCATGCCTCTGAGACCTTCTCCTGGATTTAAAAACATCCATGAAGTTTTGGTGGGATGCAGTGATGAATTCTTTGCAGGTGAAGATGAACCCATTAGTTTCTTCAGTTCCAGATCCTACGTTTCTTTCCCATCATGGAATGTTGATGGTGAGGGAATCTTGGAGTATACATTGCAAACCTCAGCTGCACGTGGCCTGCTGCTTTACTGTCCTGGGCAAGCGGGAGATTTCATTGCAATGGAGATGGAAGATGGATTAATTAAAGCCTATATTGGAAAACATAAAAGTAGAACCCAGCTTTCCTCTCGTAGGTCAGTCAATGATAGTTATTGGCACTACATCGAACTGAAATTTACTGCAGAATATTTGCAGCTGACATTGGATGAAGATACTGTGAAAAAATCATTGCCTCCCCACAGTAAGCTGCCGCTTCTGAAGGGGTCTGTCTTTGTAGGTGGTGTAGATGACACCACAAGGTCAGAAGTTATTAAGTTAGAGCTAATCTCATTGTCTGGGAAATATGCCAGAGGAGGATCCTTCAAAGGTTGCTTAAGAGACCTGAAAGCCAATTCAGAAAAGAAATCACTGAAGAATGTTCTGGTAACAAAGGACATTTCAGCTGGATGTGAAACAGAGAGTACTTTTAATACGAATCTTTCTTTAGAGATGGCTGTAAAAAACCCTACTGTGAAAGCAGCCCCAACATTTGCCATTTCCCCTGAAAGTTCTGTCTCTCTCGGCAAGGAAGACAAAAGCCACCTTTTGGTTCTAAGTAACTTGATTGTGCTAGAGGGTGGACAAGCTTTACTTGAATCTAAACATATTAAAGCCAACTTAGACTTTCAGAAATTAGGGATTCATCAATCACAAATTCTTTTTGAAATAAAGGAACCACCTTCTCATGGATACTTGAAACTAGATGTTGAACCAACACAGGAGGTAAATATATTTACTATGCAGGATGTGTGGCAAGGGAAGATTCATTATGTCCATGATGGCTCTGAGGACACTTACGATTATTTTAATTTCTCCATTTCTACAAGCAGTGAGAAGATTGTGCCTCTGTATTTACAAGGAAATGAGCAGTATGTGTTTAGCATTACTGTCACTCCAGTAAATGATGCGCCTGAGATCACACTTCCTGAGGGAAACTTGCTTCTCCTCTTAGAGAACTCAAAGAAACGTTTGACTAGTGATCTGATAAAAGTTCTAGATAAGGATACAGATCCTCTGAGTCTCAGTCTTTCAGTGCTTGGAAATCTGAATGTAGATGCAGGATTTTTAGAAAATTCAAAGCATCCTGGAAAGGCCATTACTACTTTTTCTAATGAGGACTTAAGAGAAGGCACTGTCTTCTTTGTCCACACAGGCGTCAAGAACTCAAGGATTGTTCTGAGGGCGAGCGATGGTGAGAAGGTGAGCAACACTGTTGTGTTACGTGTCATGGCAGTTGCTTTGGATTACAGAGTTGTCAACAACTCGGGAATAAAACTGCTACAAGGTGTTACAGCTCTGATCACATCTAGGCACCTGGCAGTTGAAACAAATGCCAACCTTCAGGGGCTGGAGATTCGGTATGAGATCACAGAGCCACCCCAGTTTGGGGAAGTCCAAAGACAGCATTCAAAGGGGGAATGGAAGCGGGTCAACTCTTTTTCTCAACGCTCTGTTCAGCGCAGCCGTGTGAGATACTGTAATACTTTTAAAGAAATTCAGCTAGAAAATGTTACTGACCAATTTAAATTCAAAGTTAGCATAGGAAACAGAATCAGTGAAGAGCACATGTTTCCAGTCAAAGTGAAATGGTTAAGGTACAGTTTATTGAAACATGCTCCTCTAGAAATTGAAAAATCAAAGAAAAAGTACTTGAATTCAGATAACCTTTTTGCTGTGATTGTAGATCTAGAAATACCTGAAGACGAGCTTCATTTTAAATTGCTGTCCCTACCAAAGAATGGACAAATTCTGCTTAATGACCAGCCTTTGAAAAAAGATTCAGTTTTTAGCCAGAAAGATGTTACTGATCAAAAAGTGGCATATGAATTAATGAGCAGATACCATGAAGACAACTGCGATTCATTTAGATTCCTCATTTCTACAAAGTATCTGGAATCAAATTTATATGACTTTGAAGTCTACATCAAATCAGATTTCAGAAACATTGTTTTGACTAACAGTGGCCTAACTGTTACTGAAGGTGAAGGAGAGTTAATAACAAGCACAAAATTATTTGTGCAAACACCAGATAATAAAACTTTCCAATATAAAGTCATAGAGTTTCCTAAGCATGGGAGATTAAAACTCATTAATTTTTCAAGCTCATTCGAGGGTAATGATAATCTCACCACTTTCACTAACAAAGATATAAGTGATGAGCGCCTTATGTATGTGCATGACGATTCTGAGACAGCATTTGATGAATTTCTTGTCAGAGCTTCCAGTGAAGAGTCAGGCAAGTGGGCAAACTTTGATCCAGAAGTAGAATCTTTGTCAGTAGAAATTAAATTCAACATTTCTGTCCAGCTGAAGAACGATGAGAAACCAGTACGTGTAATCGATAAGGTATTTAACGTAGTGAGAAATGGGCAGCGATTATTGACTTTGGCAGATCTTTGCTATCATGATCCTGATTCTGATTTTGATGATGGACAGTTGCTATATACTAGACGTGGCATTTCCAATGGAGACTTGGTGCTAACAAATGATACTTCGCACAGACTCTACCAATTCAAACAAATGGACCTGGAGCAAGAACAAGTCCTATTTATACACCGCGGTGCAGATTTTGGGCGTTTTGTGCTCTTTGTGACAGACGGCAAGCACTATACCTCTTTGCTTCTGGAAGTTAGTGCCACTGATCCTTATGTAAGGCTGGCAAATAATACAGGTTTATTGGTTCAAAAAGGGAAAGACAACAGCTAATCTAAGTGCTGTTACAAACCAAGACATCAGAAATGATAATGAGCTTATATATGAGATATTCTCTTTCCCAAAATATGGAAGAATATATGTAAATTATCTGTTGATGGATTCCTTTACTCAACTCGATCTGATAAAGGGGTGTGTGACCTACAGGCATGATGACAGCAACAACCTTATTGACACATTTAACTTTACAGTCCATGCTAGAGATGTCCATCTGTATGCTGGAGTGCATGTTCGCATATATTTGGAAAGTCATCAGTGGCCACCAAGGATTGTGAACAAAAACAATCTCTTGGTTGAAGAAGGAAAACCAGTTAAAATCAGTAAAGGAAAACTGCAAGTAAGTTAACTGTGTTGTCCATTTCTCCAACCTTCTAGCAAGTTTTCTTCCCTGCTTTCTCAGCCATTGCAGTGTCTTTAGTGTCTCTGTCTTCTTTAACTTCTTTCGGTTTGCACTAGCATGACTTCATTCTGGATGCTTAATTCTGGAGAGACTGACACTAGTAAGCTTCCTTTTCTAGAAAGGAAAGTTGGTTACGTTAGAAACACTGTACATAGTCTTTGAGTCTGTTACATATTGGTGCTTAAGAAAGTTAAGATTTGGAGGTGCTGAACTTGTATATTTGTTTTAGTTGTGACAATTATTGGTACATAATGTATCATTCTTAGTTGAGCTGGTGGGAAATGCCAAGGAAGAAAAGGTTTTGTTTCATTGAGTTTGGAGCTAGCCCAATTAACACTGTCTAAGGATTGCACCAAAAATGTTAAAAACATCAAGTCACAAATGGTTTCTGTTTGGTTAATACTTTCCTCCCCGTTGTCTGTGTGTAGCTTTTCCTTAACTGCCACAGGGGGCTCCAGCAGCATGTGGCTGTGTTGCTGAAATCCATGTTTCAGGCAGGGGTCTGCAGTGCTTAGGCTATTAATTCTGCAGTGTGTTCATTTTCAAAATTTACAAAACGTATTTGGGGTTAAAAAACACTCCCATGTAACATTTACTTAGCATGTCTATTTCAAGTATTGTATTGTATTAGGAACGGTGTAACCCGAGTAAGTAATGCCAGTTAGTTAAGTAGCTAATCCCAGGGTTAAAAGTAAAAATCTCAGAAGAGAATTATAGAATTTCTCCTGTTTCTGTTTAAATAATTTCAGGGTATGTTTTTAAATTTAAGGTTGTTCATGAAAACAGTTCTCCATCTGAGATTGTGTTCACAGTAAGACAGCTTCCAGTACACGGATACATTCGGAAGTTTTCCTCAGAAGAAGGTTATCTTGGTGCTGACCAAAGGCCAGTTTTGAGTTTCACACAGCAAGATGTTGACGAGGGCAAAGTTCAGTATGTGCAAACAGTTTCTGACCAACTACGTGACCGATTTTCTCTGGATGTGACCAATGGTGTCCGAACAGTGAGTGGAATAGACATCTCTGTAGACGTCATCCCCAAAATGATCCCACTGGAAGTACAGAACTTCACAGTAACTGAAGGAGGCTCAAAAGCCCTGGTGGAAGACTATCTAAAAATTTCAAGTAGACACTTTGCAGGACTCAGCTGTGAATTTATTTTAATTGAGCAGCCAAAACATGGGTATGTTGAAAACTCTCGTGCTCCTGGAATAAAGTTAACCACATTTACCAGAAAACAGGTAATGCACAAATGTAGTCACAATTAGTTATTTGTGGTGAGATGCATGAGTCTGAGCTTGCTTCTGGCCTTGTACCGAAGGTCTTTCTGCATTGCTATCTGGTCATTTGAGGTGGGGGGAAGGGTGCCTTGTTGTGGTGACCCACATCACTTGCTTGTGTGCCACTGATCACACAGACTACTGTGCTATAATCCACTGTGCTATAATCACAGTAGACTGATGGGCCTCTCGCGCTCAGGCAGAGTTGTTGATACTCTGGAAATCTAAGATGGACAGGCTGTGGATACATTTTGAAAAGACCAGAGGGAATGGTGTGTAGATTGAACAAGGAGGAAAGTGAAAAAAAAAAATTTTTTTTAGGGCATGTCTTTGCTCACAGAGAGCTGGTATATGCATGAAAAGCTAATTTTCAGTCTTTTAGCTCTAAGAAGTAAAACTGTATCATAAGTTACCATCTACTAATACTAGGTTCAGTTTATAGATTCCAGGAAAAGTTGTGGTAAATACAGTGAGACTGAATTTTCCATTCAGAAGTTGCCCCATTCCTGGAGGTGTTCAAGGCCAGGCTGGATGAGGCTTTGAGCAACCTGGTCTAGTGGAAGGTGTCCCTGTGCATGGCAGGGGGGTTGGAACTTGATGATCTTTAAGGTGCTTTCCAACCCAAACCATTCTGTGATTCTGTGATTTTCCCTTCAGGAGGGAGGGGGATTGCCAAGAGTGGCGTGTTAAGATATTCTGTCCAGAAAAATGGACAGATGAGCTGTAAAATTTGTTGTTGTGGACAGAACAAAGGTAGAGGTACAGATCAGATATGAGCATAAATAAAGTCTTATAAGTCATAAAAAGTTGAGGCAATAAATACAGAGGAGCATAACTAGACTTGCATATTTTTGTGTTTTTAACGTGGCATTCATTTTGTTTTAGCCTCTTTGATTTTTCAGGTTGTTATATTTTTCAGATGGAACAAGAATTAATCTACTATGTTCATGATGACAGTGAAGAACTGATGGACAATTTTACTGTGATAGTAAATAACACGGAATTGTGGAAACGAAGCTTGCCCCAAACTGTATTTGTAACAGTTACTGCAGTAAATGATGAAGTTCCTGTTATAAAAGTTAACAAAATTCTTCAGGTATGTTTGTCAACATTTTCAAATGTTAAAATTATTTATAACATGATACCATTTAATTAATGCAGCTTCATTAATAGAGTATTAAGTTGGTATCTGTTGGGATAGTCAATATAATAAATGGTGGTCCTGGGATTTAAATACATCAGTGTTAATGAAGGGAGGCAGTACCTGGGTAATGTGTATTTAGGGAGATTCTAGTCATCGTGGAGAACATTTTCTGCTGTTGTAATGTATCTAGTTTATCTAGAAGGCTGACTGAGCTTTCTTTTCGTCTTAGAGATAGCTGACATTTCTTGGACTGACATAGGGCTTGTGGGGTAGGATGGCTTGCACCTGGATCATTGTGTTTTAGTGTTGTTCGCTAGGGCATCTTGAGGGCTGTTAATGAACCTGGTAGCTTAGAAAAGTACCAAGAGTAGTGATTATGTGGTGCAAATGTCTCACTGTTGTCTTTGCACAGCCTTCAGACCCTGTGCCTCTTGCCATTAAGTGTACCAAAGAGTCAGACCTGCTGAGGTGCATTCTACTGCCTGCTCCTCTCTGGATATCCGGTGGAACAAGAGAAGAGAGCAGCATTCTCACTGTCACTTAATTAGAGAATTGGCTATGTGTTGGGTATTTCTGTTACAAAACAGGAATGTTCCTTTCTTTAAAAGTTCCTGCTAAGAATAGTACACTGCAATCTGTGAAAATCTATGGTGTTAGAGGTCATCAGACACTAAAGCTATTACTGTGTTATACTGTGAGCTAAAATAGGATATGCTAACTAATTTAACTCTGCCCCCCCCAATTCCTGAAGAAAATTTTAAAATTGTTGACTGATGCTACCTTCTGCTCTTAATAACCATAGCTGGCTTTTTAATCTTTTGATCTTTGAAAAAAGTCACTACTGTCATTTCGATTTCAGTGCTTTTTCAGATTTCTGTATTTTTTATTTATAGGATTGTTACCTGTTTGTTTTATAATAGCACTCAATAATGAGAACCAGTTTATTATGGACTCTGTGCCTATGTAAACCAAAAAGCCCCTGTGTGTAAAGATTTCCAATCGGAGATCTGATGAGTAAAAACAAATTACGTAACTCTAAAAAGCAGAATGGAATGGATATGGGTCAGCTAATGAAGCTGTGGTCACAATAAACCATCTGAGAGGCATCAAGACAGAGAAGATATTGAGGAATAGGTTTGAAATAAGCTAAGCAGGCTATTTCAAGGCTACATCATCCCCAGTGCTGTATGATGCAGTTTACAATTGGTGGCACCTAAAACTTGCATTTAATTTTACATATTTAGTTGTGTGTTGCAGAGGGAGAATGGATTACTGTAAATGATCATAACCTTGTGCTGTGTATGTATCCTTTTCACATGAGAAAAGATGTAATTTTTAAAAAGTGGTAGTGGTAGTATTGTGCAGTTTTGCAATGACAGCAGGTAATCCATGATAATCTGCGAACACCCACAATGGAGGACACCCTGCCCTGTGCAGAGACTGTTGGCAGAAGGGCAGACTCACTTCACAAGCATTTGTTAGTACAGAATAAAACTTTCCCTGGTTAAAATAATTACCGTGGTACTGTATAGACATCAGCACAGCGTGTAGTAATGCTTGTCTTGTCACAGATGACAGGCATATATGTCCAGTCAGAAATTTTTCTGTGTCTCCCTTCTGGTGCACTACTGGCATTGAACTTCAGTCTGTTAACAGAATTGAGGTAGGGCAGTGCACTGCAGTGCAGCATATAGATTTTTCTAAAAATATCTGTAAGTCTAGGCTTCCCAAGAACAATGGTAGCAGAGCTTAACCTAGCTAAAGTTGGTCCTCTTTGCTGAGGAGGCAGTTTGCATATCCAGAACCAGGATGCTGCCTTTGTGCCGATGGTTTTGCTGGTCATGCGTAAGCTGTTGCTGAGAAATAACCTTTGTTTTTGTCATGAGTGGGTACTAATATGCACTCATATGTTGGATTCATCTGCAGACTAAAACAAAGCTGGCGGTTGAGTTATATGCTGGGAAGAATACACTGAGATGATCCTCCTTCAGAGCAAACTTGCACATCCCAAGTAGGTGGGAGAAAAAGGATTTTTCTTAGTCCTGCTAAATATTGAGATCAGCGGGGCATTCCCGTGTAGGGTGATACTTGCTGGCCCAATGTTCTATTCAAGCAGACTGTGTTCCTCAAGGACGTTGCTAATGGTGACTGTTGAGTGATAAACTGTGAGTTGCTTTTAAAAAGGGAGTAGCTCTTTTATATCTTTGAAAGATTGGAAACATACAAAATCTACAAAAGTATAAAATGAGGGACCAGTACGGCACAAACTAAAGTCCAGTAGGACCATCTGAGTGGACTGAAATGTAACATCTCGGAAATTCTGCAGAGCTTGATATAAAGAGTTAGAAAGAACTGCTGAACAATTGAAAAATAGGTTAGCATATGGCATCTGCTGCTGAGAAATAGCTTCTGTGGAGAGCTGCATTATGTGGCCAGTGATGTTGTCATGGATGTATGGAGGCTAATTTTGGCCTTCATCATGGGGCTTCTAGCCAAATGCAAGAAACTGTTGGGCATGTGCACACATGCTGAATGAGTCCTTCAACACTACCTCCTTCACTTCTGAAGCATCCATAACATCCCTTCTTCAAACAACCTTGTCTGTTGTTACTAAAGTTATGAACACCATCAAGGTTATGAACATCATGAGGGGACTTTCAGGAGAACAAAAAACCAAACATTTTGGGAGTTGTTTCAGGTTTTTCTCTAGGAAGTGAAAGTAAGTGAAGTTTTTAGGGGTTTGGTTTGGGGCTTTTTTTTTGGCTGAGAATGTATGACATGCTGTAGTATTTACTTTAACATAACATATGATATACAGAAAGTTTTACTGTCCTGAGAGGTTCTGTAGTGTATGCTAGTAATCCTTGCACTTAATTTTACAGCCTTTTCATTAGACCAGTAAGTGCATAAGGGATATGTTTATTTAGAAACTCTACAGCATTTAGGTATAATCTCCTAAAACTTCCACAGGTTCTATGGTGATTTTTTTTTCTGGGGTGGGAATGGGGAAGGGAAATAGCATATTTTTTTTAAGAAGTCACTATCCTGGGATTATTTGCTGCGTTTATGTATGTGTTTAAATGTATTTATGGGTAGTGATGCTGTGAAATGACTGTATCCTCCTGTTGTCACAAGAGGGCGGTATTTTCCTAGAATTAGATTTTTGTTAAAACCAAATTCAAACACTGATGTTTTTTATTTACTTTAAATCACTCATCAGAGTATTAAAATGGCCGTGAATGTAGAGTGGCTGTATGTAGCATGCAAGGAGATAACTGATAAGCTGAATGCTGTGAGTAGAGCAGAATGAATGATTTCCCATCGGGCAGGGTCGTGAACCTTTTTTTGGACCATGCCTGTGGCGTGTGTTAGGCGCATGCAAAGTTAGCGTACTGCTACATTCTGGAAGTTCAGATACAGTTTTCATGGTGCTCTTCAAGGAGGACTTGAGTCCACGTGTGGAAAATAAGACACTTACAGTATTTGCAGTATTCTGAGTGTCCGCTTCCCTGCAGCCCTTTTCAGCATTTGTATCTCCTTTAATTCCTCAAGGATCGTGTTGGAGGTCATGTACAGTAATTTAAAAAGCATTGTGTGTTAGTGTACTGGAACAATAGAAATAAACACTGACTTAGTAGAAAAAAAGCTCATTTTTTCCTTTACCAAGAGAAAAAAATTTTGAAACTCAAGGATATTTAATGAGTCATTTGTAATAACGTGTTTGCATAGTCATTTCTTAATGTTTTTGCATATTCTCTAGGTGACCTTTTATTTTCTGTGTAGAATAATATGAATCAAGTGCTGCTGAGGTGAGTAAAAGGTCTCAGTACAAAACCAGTGACACTGATATGCTTATTTGGTGCTGCTCAATAAGTCAGCTATTGCTATTAGTTACCATCCTGTGTTTTCATAGGTAGTGTCTTTTATCAAACTTGGATAGTAGTAATGACATTACAGAAACATATATTTCAAGGGAGAAAACAGCAAGTTGTTTTCTATTATAAAATGTAGCACAACTTATTTTTCAAACTTCTTTTCTAATTAGAAAACACATATAATTTCATTTTAGTATCTCTTTCCATGGCACGTATTTTTTGACACAGTACTGTCTGAAATCTTTCCTCCGTTGAAGTGTCATGACAAAAATCCCAGTTGCTTTAAAAGGTTTTATTCCATGATTTTTATTAAAAAGTAAAATTAATACTTAGGGAAAAAATCTGTGATTGCTTATTTTGGTTTTGGCAGAGGTAAAACACCCTTTGTCAAGTATCACATTTCCTCTTCAACCGTATGATGTGATGTTACTACCCGGTATTTGTTAAGTGTACTATGTCCCTAGGAAGACAGGAAGCGACAATGTGGTATGTGTTTTGAAGCTCAAGCTGAGGTTTTTAAAGGCACAGGCTCTTAAGATTGTATGCTATGATATAAACTCTGCATGGAAAGAATTGGTATTGAGGTATAGAATATTTAGGAATTTCATGTTGAGATAAATATGTTTTTCTTTGTTAGTACTTTTGTCTGTAATTGCAAATAAATACAGCAAAGATGAAGAGTAAAAGGAGCTCTTGCTTGTTGTTTCCAAACAAGAAGTTATCCAGTGAGATATGGATGAAGCACAGACAGCAGTCCTTTCTGCTCAAAAGAAGGATCTTGCAGTTTCTGCATATCTTAAGCTAGAAAAAAGGGGACATTTAGATTTAGTAGAATTAAGTAATGGGTTTTATACCACCTTTCTAGAAACTAGTTAGCTATTTTGACTGGAAGCATGACCTTGCAAAGTGCTAAGTAGCTGTTGGCGGTGTTTATTCCTTCGTGTCCCACTGGACTGAGCACTTCTGTGTGTCGTTTGGTGCGCTAGAAAAGTCCTTTAGTGCATGTTGTTAGAAGGTAATAATGCAGCTATAAGAAGTGTTCCATTCATATGAGAGATTATGCTCTCCCCAAGCTGTTTTTCTTTTTTCTTTTCTGGTACTGAAAACAGATCATATTGAATGCCTTGCCTGCTCTGAAGTACATGACACTAATATTCATATGTATGTGTTGGAAAGGAGCTCCTTGACTCAGTTATCAAAATAAAATTTTGTTATGTTTGTAAGAGTTTGGATAGAGCCTGACAAACAGAGCACTCGTGCTGCAGCTATCTAAAACTCAAACTGGTGTAGGGTGTGTTTGCTTGTATTATTTCGTGGCTTTGTTTTTTGAAAACCATTTGCCAGCATTAACTATACCAGTCCATGATCAGAGATTTGGATGGACAGTAAGAAGACCTGTCATAGCTGCTAGTTTTGCACAGCATGAATCTTTATACTTTCTTTTTCTTTAAAGGTTTTTTCCCTCTGATTTTCTTTTGTATGCATTTTCTTTATTAGTGATGTTTATTTTATTTTTATGTTTCTAGGTCTGGGTGGGTTCAGTCACAGAAATAACTATCGATGACCTCTGTGCAGAAGACAAGGACTCCTCGCCATTAGAACTGATATATTCCGTTACCCCACCTAGCAATGGGCACTTGGCTCTGAAGTCTTCTCCAAGCAAGAACATCCTTAGTTTTACCCAGGCTCATATAACTGAAGGGCAGCTGGTATTTGTACACAATGGTATGTGGTTTCAAAAATACCACCTCTGTTACCAAAATGCTGCTCCTGTGCAAATATTTGTGTTTGTAATCTTTTTGAAGATCTCCTTGTAATGTCACTAAAATCTCAGAGCACTGGTTATGGGATACATGATCTCATGAACTAAACAGGAAAGGGTCGGATGACTACTTGAATGTGCGCTCACCCAGAAACCTTGGAGTATTAGTGGTTCAGTTGGTAGCAGCCTTCTTTCTGAATGCAGATTTGCAGTAGGGAAGTGTTGCCATGCAGCTTTCAGAGATATGAAATCCATTTTTTTTACCATTGTCATTGTGAATCTCCAGAAACCTTTCTGTTTTGTTACAGTGCAGAGCCGTTCATGGACCAATAGTCTCAGATACTTGCCATGGTGTAGTTGTGTTCCTGAGCAGCTCTGGGCAATGAAGTTACCGTTCGTCTGGGTGATGTCAACCTCTCTTTCAGGCTGTGAAGGAACTCAGCTTTAACTACTGACTCTTTTCTGCTAATGACCAGAGCTAGAGATCAGGTTATTTGTGCTGCTGCTACAGTGAGAATGTGTGGGCAACAAAAAAAGAAGTCAGGGCAGCTTCATGCATCCTTGAGTAGCAGTGCTGGGAAGCTGCAGGAATGAACATCCCAGCAGGGTTCCAGCCAGAGGAAGAGGTGCAGCTTTTACAGGGCCATAGCTGCTTTTCTCCTGCTCCAGCTTTATTATCTTGTTACCTCAGCTGAAAGAACAAAGGAGGTACTAAAGAAGGAATAAACCAGTTTTGGGGAAGGAGATGGAAGAGGTACAGCACTCTCTTGCCAGCTCCAAGGCAGGCTGGAATTATTTCCAGAGCTCTCTTGGGTGCAGCAGTCACTCCAGATCTGTGCTGTGTCTTCATGAGGCTTGATGCAGTTTTTGCAATCCTCTTTCTGGTGTCCTTTTTATCACCTCTGATCAGATATGCCTTGAAAAATTAATTGGGATAAAGTAATACATGCCCCACCCACGCAGCACTTCAGGATTTAGTTCTGTTCCTGACTCTGCCAGTGACAAAATGTCTGTATAAGTCGGGCAGTTGACCTTTATTAGCCAAAAAAGCAAGTGAGGCTAAGTAAGCCTTTTTTTTTTTCCAACCTGAGGCGAATAGTAGACTCCTCAGTGCCTTTTAAATGGACAAATATTTGTCCATTTTTATCAAGCGAAAACATCAGAGAATAAAATCTTTTAAAATAAAAGCAATGTGACCTGATCTTTCAGAGCTGCTTCAGTGCCTGGCTGGATATAAGAGCGCTGCCTAGGGGAGTTGTTAACTATAATCTCAGAACCCACATTTGATTCTTCTGATATGTTAAATTATAGTTTGGCAAGGAGTGCTGATCTTTAGGTGAAAGTACATCCAGTATCTCATGGCTAAATTGGGCAAAGCAAGCGGAAGAACAGTGGTAACTATTGCAACTGTTTCAATTTTGGTTTTCTCTTTCTACCTAATTAAGCAATCTGGGGAGCCTCTAGTTAAAGCAAGATTCAGGAAGCTTTGTGCACCTCAGTTAAGTCAGTTCCAAGAGATGTATTTTTATAAGAATCCACTCAGGCTCCTGGAGGTATTTTGCTATCACTTGTGCCAAAGTACATACAGGTCCTAAGATTAAAGAAAAAAATGTGCATTTATTATGAGTACACATAACCTCTGAAATAGTTTAAGCTGTGACAACATAACGCTCTTCAGCAAAGCTGAACCCGAGTGAAGAGGCGAAGGAAACTACCTGAGAGTTGATTCAGTCCTTTAAATGTAAATCAGAATGAAAGAACATCCTAGTTGTTTTTCTCTCCAAATTCCTTCTTTGCCAAAATATGACTACTTAAGCACTTTGGTCCCTCTTAATATGTAAAAGGAATAGAAAATTTGGGAATCATTGTCTCCCTAAGTTTAACTTGGTTTCAGCTTCACTGGAGTCAGTGAAGAAAGAAAGTTAGAGATATTGCTGATTTATGTCTAAGAGATGTCTGCCCTTCAGTGTAAACAGCAGCCAGTTGTTCTTCATTGGGAGGGTGTTCACTGCATTATTCATTTATTTAGTTCTAATTAAGATTAATTCCAATTAAGATCAAAAACTGCTTCAGGATAATTTTGGACATATTTCACAGTAGCCAAGAGCAAAAGGTGTCCAGTGTATGTTTGTATGTTTTGGATGACAAACAGAGTAATATAAGAATAAATTTACATTTTTGTTTTCTACAGGAGCAATGTCTGGAGGCTTCAGCTTTCAGGTAACAGACGGTTTGAACTTTGCACCTCGACAGATTTTTAGCATCACAGCTCAGACGCTAGTCATTAGCCTTGAAGTGAACAAAGGGCTTGGAGTCTTTCCAGGTCTGTTTTTGAAGATTATCTTTATTTTGTCCGCTTGAAAAAATTGTGTAATATATGGCTATTTGTCAGATAGCTTGCTAGGTGGCTAAACTATAGACAGGTGTACCTGGGAGCATTATCTGTCTGATTTTTAAAAGAACAGTTATGTTTTCTCAAACAACATATTTCTTTATTGTTTTGTAGTCTTTAACTTTTTGTTATGTGTGTCTGCTTGGAGTCATGGAAATTGGCAGTGAAATACATAAGCACAGTGTGACAACTCTGTTTGAGGAAGCTCTGAACATTCCCCATTCTGATTTGTTTAAAAGCTCTATATTACATTCATGTATTTAGAGGTATCTTAGTTGGTTGTGATTTTGCCTGGTAAGAGCAGAGTAAAGCTTGTGTCCATGGTATTCTGAATAGCACATATAAACTTGACAAATTGCTAGTTTGGTTTCTTACTGTTTGAGCTGAGTTATGGAGAGCAGCACAGACTCACTGATGAATCGGAACAACTGAAAAACTTTGATTCATATTTGTGCATTTGGAACTAGTTCTATCAACAGCTGAGTATTTTCTACTGAAATCATACTCCTGTAGGAGTTGATGTGTTAAGGAGCCATTTACTGGTTTGCATTGGCAAGAGAAATCCCTCATTGAGTTAGTAGTCCAACATTAATTGCAGGATTAAAGGAGAAACGAAGATTAGACTACCTTATTTTTGCTCTGAACGTGATCTGTACAACCAGAAAGAGCTTGAGAATTGGTAAAGCTCTATAAGTATGAATCTGTACCTTGATTTATTAATTTGATACAGAAGAGGAGCACTTTAGTTTCTTAAACTTCCTGAATATAAACTGCATAAACAAAGGCTTGCAACAAAAGACACTTAAAACACAGGCAACAAAAAATGAGATTGTAGTGGCATGATGTTCTAATTCAGTCGATATAAATGGGATTCACATAAATCCACTTACAAAGCTTATTAATCTGTGATTTCAGTGTGTAAGGTTGCCTCGGGCACAGGGATTTACAGGAATTCTGTCTTAAGCCAAAGGTAATTGTACGAAAAGTATGTCTGATACTTCATAGGAGGGGAGATCTCTAGACTATCAGTTCTCCAATTTGCAAAATACAATATTTCTTTTAGCACTGCAAGCTGTATTCATCTAAGCCTACAGTTTTTCCTGAATTCTTGCTTACTTTGGGTTAGCAAAATTCCTTTTTTGGTGTTAAAAAGTATTACTAGCTTTTTCACCTGTTCTCTTTATGATACTTTTTAAAGGCATTCTGGAGCTCCATGTGTTTCAGCTGTACTTGCTCATCGTGAAATGACTATGACAACAATGATGGTGCCAAGTGGTTAACACACATATAAAGAATAGCCAGTGTCCTGTTATACTTTATAGCACTGCAGGAAAACTTAATTTTGAGACAACTTGAAGAATCTTCTCTCTAGGGAAGTAGAAATTGAATATATTGTGAAGAATTTGCCATGTCTTCATGACAGGGTGTAAACTGTTCTCTCAAGCATATTGTTCTGCAATTTTATTAGAGCATGTACTGCTGTCTTCTTTTGTGTTGGATATACCAGATTTGTTTATACAATTTGTGGATTTTTTTTCTCTTCAGCTGAAGCTTATTTTATTCAGTATGTTCAATAAATTGACTGCTAGATATGTGAGTTTTTTTATGCTAGGTATCTAGAGTGTGATGGTTTGCTCTCTTCAGGGAAGCAATTGCTCAAAGAAGGAATGAGCTGAGTTCCTCTTTGAGAAGGACAGGCAGCCTGGCTTGTAGGTATTCGGAAGCAGAGCTGTCTAAGTAGTCAGTAGATGAGATGATTCATAACTGTTCAGGCAGAATGCTCATGCCAAAGCACTTATCAAATCTTAAAACATAGGCAGTAAAAATGGATACCAAAATTATTAAGTACCAATAGTGGCTTTATGCTGTTGCATTCTACTTGTATGGATTAGCTTGGCTGTGCTCTGCATCACCCATCATTGTTGTGTGTCTTCCTCACTTATCTCTGTTTGTTTCCCCTGTGTTTCGGTGGGGTTGGTTTTACGATCTCTCTGCTCCCAGGTTTGGGAACAAGCAGATGGTGTTCTCAGTTCTCTTTCCTTCACCCAGTCTGTTGGCTGGCTAGTAACATTCCTCTCGCTGTTGAGATGTCAGACCAGAGCAGAACTCCTGCAGGTGCTGAAAAGGTTCTCAAGTCTCAGGATGGAAGTGGGTGAAGAAGAAGGTTATGTTTGGGGGAAGGTCCCATTTTACAGGGAGACATGAGAGACTTCATTGTCTGTGGCCCTAGACTGTTTCAGCCTGTGCTGTGCAGTGAGTGAGATCAGGTCTGTTAGGAACAAACAGGGACTTTGTGGCACACATCATCTGTCCTCAGCTCCCTGCACTGTGATGGTGGTGGTGGGATAACCTGATTTGTTTATAAAAAATCGGGGTGGTAACTTCCATCACTGCAGTGTGGCTGTGTTTGAGAGTTACTGTGAGTTACTCTGTTAAGGCAACGAGACCTGATTTGCATAAGTAGGAGGTTATTGAGAAATAATTGTGTTTGCATATACACATGGTCTGGTTAACTGTTGCTCTCACTTGTCCATTCCTGACCACATCTGCTATATGCACAGGACAAGGCCAGGCTTCCTTCTCTGCCTGTCACACAAAAAGGGGAAAAGAACAGAGAGAAAGAGGAGGAAGACTTCTTAAGTTAGATATAGAGTGCCATAATTTTTATAGACCTGAGGGACTGCTTTGCTTTTCAAAGCAGTATGGAGACAGAGAGGCATGGGAAGGTAAAAAGGGTAAACCAGGCAGAGCCAGAGATCTCATTTCGTTATAACAACTGTGTTTCAAAGCAGATGTGGTTTGAACCAGCACACAACTACAATGTGAACAGGCAGAATCCTGATGTTGCTAGTGGCTTGCAAATCATCCCTATTCTTCAGTGTGCTTACTATATTTTTTCTTTGAATATTACAGCAGG